TTTTTCTTTGAGACTTAGTCTCCCTCTGTCACCCAGGCTGGAGTGCAGTGGCATGATCTCGGCTCACTGCAACCTCTGCCTCCTGGGCGCAAATGATTCTCCTGCCTCAGCCTCCCAAGTAGCTGGGATTACAGGTGCATGCCACCATGCCCAGCTAATTTGTTTTAAACTTAACTTGGCATGGTGGCATGCACTTTTGAACTTCAGGCTCCTTCCTAATTTTTCACTGTTTGCACCAGCATGTCAGTTTCACAGATACTGAGTTTTTGTTGAGTTGTTCTGGGGAAAGCCCTGTGACCAAGGCTGTGCCTTTCAGCATGCAGGGCCAGGTTTTGTAACCCTGATGTGTGTTGGGAGGATGTCCTGGGCACTCCCAGGTCCTGGGAGGGTCGGGCAAAAAGGAGTGGCTGTGGGCTGGCCATGACGCATCCCCACACCCTTTGGTCTCAGGTCCACGCCACCCTGGAACTGTTCGCCCTGATGGTGGTAGTGTTTGAACTCTGCATGAAGTTACGCTGGCTGGGCCTGCACACCTTCATCCGGCATAAACGGACCATGGTCAAGGTGATGTGTCCGTCCCTCTGTCCCTCTCCTTGCAGCCTTTTCTCCCATGTCACCTTCAAACCTGTCTCTTTGGCACAATTCAGAATCCACCATGGACCCAGTCCATGCTCAGAGGTGTGACCTTAGGGTCCCTGTCCTGGCCATGCCCTCAGCCTTGCCAGTGCCCCGGATGCCTTGGTGATGCCAGCAGTAGCTAATGTGATGGAGTGTTTTGTACGTGCCAGGCACTGGTGCAGTCACCTTGGAGAGACAGGTGCTGCTCTCTCTGTTTTACATTTATCCAGAGATGCGGGGTACACACCCAGCTTTGTCTGCCCCCTGCCCCTGGGCTCACCTTCCCTAGTGTTGTGTGTCTTCTCTCTGTGCCGCAGAAAGTGGCGTGAGTAGGAGCATGTCGGGGTGGCACTTTGTAGAGTGTGGAGCGTGTGTGCTGCTCTGGAAGAGTGTAGCCAAGTAAGCAGAGATGGAGAGGAGCTGCAGGCCCGATCCCTGGTGCGAGTGGGGACGGCTGATGGAGGGGCTGGCAGAGTGGCGGTTTTGCCTCCCCAGTGGATACCAGCAGTCAAGCTGCTTGGGGCCGTCCCCTTCATCTCATTCTCCTGGTACCACACATCTGGCCAGCAGCTGGAGTTTTCCTCTCCTGGGGCTGCCTGATGTGTGCAGGAAGTGTGAGAGAGGACTGGAGAGAGGGAAAGCCACTTGAGGCCAGAGTAGGCGCTGCCTCTCCAGCTCCCTGTTCCAGGTAAGCAGGATGGTGGGTGGGCTGACGGTGCTCCATGCCTGCCGCCCGCAGACCTCAGTGCTGGTGGTGCAGTTTGTCGAGGCCATCGTGGTGTTGGTACGGCAGACGTCCCATGTGCGGGTGACCCGGGCACTGCGCTGCATCTTCCTGGTGGACTGTCGGTATTGCGGCGGCGTCCGGCGGTAAGGACTGGGTGGGAAGCTGGGAAGACAGTCGCTATCCTGGCGTGGTCTGACCTCTGGGCTGGTGGGGCAGGAGACTGTGAGTCAGTTAGTGATGAGGTGGACCCTGCGTGCTGATGGAGTACCGGCACACTCAGCCTCCCTCTGCCATCCCACCCACACGCAGGGAAGGCGGTATTCCTGCCGCAGTGTAGGCTTGCCGCCTCTGGGTCCAGGGCTCTTTCCCATCTTATCCGTAGCCTTCCAGAGCTGCTTCCTCACTCTAAGCGTGCTATCTACCCAAATGCAGGCAGCTCAGCAGCGTCCACGTGACACAAGCAGGCTCTCCTGCCACCTCCACTGAGGCTGTAGGACTGAACTCAAACCGGACCAAGCCCCGACTAAAATTTATTTTGGAAGACTCAGTCTGGAAAATTCCTTGGCTGGGCTACTGTTGCTGAGAGTGGGCTTGCAATTCATTCTCTGTGCCCATCCTCAAAGCTAGAAACAGGACTCAGTGTCCTTGAAACAGGCCCGGGACTGAAACACACTCAGTGTCCCAGGGCTAACCCTAGGGCCTTGAAGTGTCTTCATGCCTTCCACATCCTGCTCTTGGAAACTGACCTTTGTGCCCAAGGCCATGTCATTGGCCTTCTGCTGTTCCCTTCCCCCCTGCAGGGCACTCGCCTCCTTGGGCTGTCACCAGGTAGAGGTGGCTATGTGCTACATCTGCCCCAGTTCTTCCCTGTCACCCACTGAGTGGGGGTCTCGAGCCACTTGCTGAAAAAAACGAAGCACAATGTCATACCAGGGTGCGACACGGTTTAGTATTTTGAGTCAGAAGCACTAGGTTCCCATCTCGACAAGGAGTCCCAGACGGCCCACCCCAGCGGGCGCCTCCCCTGAGCCGGCCCATCTGTCTCCACAGCAACCTGCGGCAGATCTTCCAGTCCCTGCCGCCCTTCATGGACATCCTCCTGCTGCTGCTGTTCTTCATGATCATCTTCGCCATCCTTGGTGAGTTCCCACTTCCCGGGCCCAGGCACACTTGAAAAGCAAGTTCACGGTGGATGAAAAATTATTTTGGGCTGGGCACAGTGGCTCACACCTGTAATCCCAGCAGTTTGGGAGGCCAAGGTGGGCAGATCACCTAGGTCATTAGTTTGAGACCAGCCTGGCTAACACAGTGAAATCCAGTCTCTACAAAAATATAAAAATTAGCTGGACGTGATAGCACGCACCTGTAATCCCAGCTACTTGGGAGGCTGAGGCAGGAGAATCACTTGAACCTGGGAGGCGGAGGTTGCAGTGAGCTGAGATCGTGCCATTGCACTCCAGCCTGGTTGACAGAGTGAGACTGTCCGGAAAAAAAAAAGAAAAATTATGTTGACAGTGTGACTGCTGTAACAAAATGCCATAGACTGGGTGGCTTATAAACAACAGAAGTTGATTTCTGCCCATTCTGGAGGCTGTGAGATCTGGAAGACCAAGATCAAGGGCCAGCTGTGGGTGTCTGGTGAGGGCCTGTTTCCTGGTCCATAGATGGCACCTTCTGGCTACGGCCTCACGTGGTGGAAGGTGGAAGGCAGCTCTCTGGGCCTCTTTGTCCCGGGTTCAAGCTAATCTCCTGCTTCAGCTTCTCAAGTAGCTGGGATTATAGGCACCCACTACCATGCCAAGCTAATTTTTGTATTTTTAGTAAAGACAGCGTTTCACCATATTGACCAGGCTGCCCTCGAACTCCTGACCTCAAGTGATCTGCCTGCCTCGACCTCACAAAGTGTTGGGATTACAGGCATGAGCCACTGCGCCTGGCCTCTGGTGCCTATTTTATATGGGCACTAATCCCATTCGGGAGGACTTCACACTCATGACCTCTTCACCTCCCACAGGCCTCACCTCCTGACGCCGTCACCTTGGGGACTAGGATTTCAGTGTAGGAATTGGGGACAGGGGACACAAACATTCAGACCAGAGCAGGCAGTTTTAGAAATTCAGAAAGGTTTTAAAAGTAGGCCAGGCACGGTGGCCCATGCTGATTATCCCAGCACCTTGGGAAGCTGAGGCAGGCAGATTGCTTGAGTCCAGGAGTTCAAGACCAGCCTGGGCAAGACAAGGAAACCCCATCTCTAAAAAAAAGTGCGGAAATTAGCTAGGCATGGTGGTGTGCACCTGTAGTGCCTCCTACTCAGGAGGTGAGGCAGGAGGATCGCCTGAGCATGGAGAGACAGATGTTGCAGGGAGTTGTGACAGCGCCACTGCATTCCAGCCTGGGCAACAGAGCAAGACTCTGTCTCAAAAATAAATAATAAATAATAATAACATGAACACCCATGGACCCCCATCCAGCTTAGGAAATGAAGTATTAAAAATAAAATGGAAGGCACGTTTGTAACCTTTAGTGATGGTGATTCCGGCTTTCCCCAAAGGCACCCCCTATCCTAAGCTTATTGTTCCCAGGCACGTCTTTCTACTTTACTTCATATTTACATTTCCCCAAGCAACCAAGAAATGATACTGCTTTCTTTGCATACTTAAACGACGTCTCTAAGTGGTTATATAATATGGATGTCCTCTTCTACACATTGCTCTTTCGCTCAGCACTGTGTTTTTGAAATGTTGGTACATGTAGATGCCGTTTATTCATTTTCACTGGAGCGGAGCAAGTATGCCAAAGCTTGTTTGCCTGCTCTCTGTTGGACGTTTCTCTTATCCCAAATCCCACTGCAGTGAGCACTCCTGTGTGTTTCCTGGTGCTCACGCTTGACAGTTTCTCGAAGACGCTTGCCTGGGCCCTGAAAGACAGCACGCGCTTCAGCTTCACTGGGTACAGTAGGGTGACAGGCTGCTCACTCAGGAGGGCTTGGTGTTTCAGATGGGGCTGACTGTGACAGCCACACAGAGTCACAGGGCGTAGATCGGAGGTCACGGCACTCGGCTGGGAAAGCCAAGGTCCTTTCACCAAGTTTCTGCAGATGGTGAAGACAGTGGAACCAAAGAGTCCTGACTGAGGCTAGAGCCGGGGCCAGCCCTTCCTGGCCTCGTGACTGCCCTGTCCTGAGTCACGGCTCTCACTTCCTCCCACCCACCACCCGACTCTTGGTAGAATTTCATTCGTTTCAGCCCCCACTCCAGGAGTGGGGGCTGATTTCCCCTGAGGGCAGTTTCTCCCTTTTCCCACTCAGGAGTTCAGGGACTCAGGGAGTGATCCATTCCAGGAGGGAGAAGTGAATGGTATTCCTACCCTGGGACCCTGGTGGCAGGGGAGCAGCGGATCCCTTTGGAATTTCACTTAGCCGTCATGTTCTCAGAACCTAACATTGCAAAATAGCAGCCTGGGTTCCAGATCCAGCCTACAGATGGGTTTTGTTTGGTCTGAAAACTTTGAGCCAGCATTTTAAAATTAGATTTTACACAAAAACACAGACTTCCAGCCTTTTGAAAGAACAGAGCCGATAGTGCCCAGCACATTACTGTGTGGTGGCAAGTGTCTGGTGCCAGCAGCCCTCGCTCTCTTTGGATAGAGCACATGTTCTCGGGGTGCTGTGGTCCCCAGCAGTCCCTGCTCCCTTCGGACGGAGCACATGTTCTCGGGGTGCTGCGGTCCCCAGCAGTCCCTGCTCCCTTGAGACGGAGCACATGTTCTCGGGGTGCTGTGGTCCCCAGCACTCCCTGCTCCTTTCGGACGGAGCACATGTTCTCGAGGTGCTGTGGTCCCCAGCAGTCCCTGCTCCCTTTGGGCGGAGCACGTATCCTCGGGTGCTGCGGTCCCCAGCAGTCCCTGCTCCTTTTGGATGGAGCACATGTTCTCGGCGTGCTGCAGTCCCCAGCAGTCCCTGCTGCTCTTCCTGACCCGCTGCATTCATGTGCATGTATTTTTCTGGTCCTTTTGACACCCCAGTTTTGGGACCTCTGCTCTAATCTTTTTGTTTATCTGTGTTTCCACCTGCTTCTAGGTTTCTACCTGTTCTCCTCTAACCCTTCAGACCCTGTAAGTAATCAGCACATTTGTCTGTCTCTTCTTTTATGTAGGGCTTTTTGCTCAGATTGGGTGGCCGGTGTGACACTGTAGCCATATGGGGAAGGGGGCCCTGCCTGGTTTCTCATCATAGCTTGTGTGTGCACTCCACCTGGGAGTTCCCAACACTCAGACTTGACCACTTCCTTCTTTGAGAGCTGGGGGTCCCCATTTCTGTTCTTGAAAGGGGTGCTGCCAGGATCAGGTTTGGACCATTGGAACATTTTGGCAGAGGAGCAGTGGGGGAGAACCGGGCGAATGACCCAGACATGTGACTCCCTGGAAAAAAAGGTCCCCCCAGGCCAGTAGTCTGCTTCTGCCAGAGCATCAGGTGCAGGAAGCGGGAGGCCTCTGCACTGCATGTTTGCTTTTTCCTCTGCCTCCCTCGGGAATTCCTTGAGAGATGCAAGAGCGGGCGTGGCAGGGCGCACCAGGTGGCCTATCACAGCTTGTTCCTGGTGGCCATGTGCTCTGGCTGGCCCCAACCTCTCCTCTGCCCCCTCTTTCCTTGCAGTACTTCAGCACCCTGGAGAACAGCATCGTCAGTCTGTTTGTCCTTCTGACCACAGCCAAGTAAGTGCAGGCTCTGCCTTGCCTTTGGCCCCCTGCTGCCACCCTGGGGTCTCCTCCTCTTTTCCGCAAAGTCTGTTCCACATCCCAGCAAGGGCAGGTGCTGTGGTGCTGTTGGGAGACAGAGTTGGCCTGCTGAGCGCGGAGCCCAGGGATGATAGTAGGAGAACTGGGGTTGGAGGCCGGGAAGGCCTCATGTTCTCCGAGAGGATGGAGATAGGCAGACACAGCCCGCTGGATCAACCTCTACAAATACAGTTTCCCAGATGTGATGATGCCCTCCTACTCCCGGAACCCCTGGTCCTGCGTCTTCTTCATCGTGTACCTCTCCATCGAGCTGTACTTCATCATGAACCTGGTGAGTACTATGCTGGAGCAGCCTGCCCCTGCCCACGAAGCACTGGGCACCATGGGAGTGGAGAAGTGGGGACTGCCTTCCACTTCCCAGGGCAGAACGTTGGGGCAGGAAGTCCTAGGTTCACAGTCAGGTACAGTGTTGTGGGGAATGCCCTGTCAGGACTTCAGGAGTTCATCCAGTTGCTGGGGGTGACGTCCTCACTGGGGCAGTGCTGCTGCTGCTGACAGGGCTAGATGTTAAGCCCAGGTGACCCTGGGGACCTTCCCATTCTTATAGCAGACAAAGACAGTTGAGTGTCCATGGAGATTGTTTGCAGGACCCTCTATAGGTACAAAAATCCACAGATGCTTAAGTCCCTTATTTAAAATGGCATAGTATTTGCAGATAACCTGTGCATATTCATCCTCTCGTATATTTTAAATCATCCTACATTACCTATAACATTGAATACAATGTTTAACCTGTGTAGTTTTATACTGGGCTGGGTGCAGTGGCTCACACCTATAATCCCAGCACTTTGGGAGGCCGAAGTGGGTGGATCATTTGAGGTCAGGAGTTCGAGACCAGCCTGACCAACATAGTGAAACCCTGTCTCAACTAAAAATACAAAGATTAGCTGGGCATTCGTGGTGGGCACCTGTAATCCCAGCTACTTGGGAGGCTGAGGCAGAAGAGCATGAACCCAGGAGGTGGAGGTTGCAATGAGCCGAGATCCTGCCATTGCACTCCAGCCTGGGCGACAGAGCAAGACTCCATATCAAAAACAAACAAAACACAGTTATACTATATTGTTTAGGGGATAATGGCAAGAAAAAGCTGTACATGTTCAGTACAGATGCAACCTTCCTTTTGTTTTTGGAATGTTTTTGATTCGCATTTCGTTGAATCCACGGATGCAGAACCCACAGATATGGAAGGCTAACTGTATTATAATAACTATAAAAGCTGGCACTCTGTAAGCCTTAGCTAGGCACTCGGCACTATGCAAAATGTTTTACATATGAGGATGAAATAATGTAATAAGTAAACAGAACCCTGAAGGTAGTGAGTATGGTTCTCAATGTTCAGATGAAGAGACTGAGGGTCAGAGTGACAGTGTGATTTGCCCACGGCTGTGTAGCTTGGAGTGGCCGGGCCAGGCTGGTTACAGAGCCCTGTCCCTAACCACTCTGTTCAGTTGCACTCATGTGCCAGAAATGTCGTGTATATTTCTACCCCGTTTATGAGGAATAATCAGAAAATCCAGTATAGAACACATTCTGTGAAGGAGAATGTAAAGCTCCTGTGCTCAGGGAACTTGGAGGGTATTTGTGGAGGCGTGGACAGCCACCAGGAATGTCCCTGCTGTCACAGATCACATCCGACACCAGGCTGTTAGGCCGGTGCCAAGACCACACATCCATGGCAGGGCTATCGAGGAGAGGCTTCCGATCAAGTCTTGTGTTTATTATTATGCTTCCGCAGAGCATTCTCACACCAGTCACCACAGGCAGGCCCAGTATAGAAATGAAAATCATCTTCTCCAGGTACACCTGTGAAGTCTAAAAATTCAAGTTTTTTTTTTTTCTTGAGACAGAGTCTCGCTCTATCATCCAGGCTGGAGTGCAGTGGCGCAATCTTGACTCACTACAACCTCCACCTCCCAGGTTCAAGTGATTCTCCTCCCTTAGCCTCCCAAGTGGCTGAGATTATAGGCACACGCCACCATGTCTGGTTAATTTTTGTATTTTTGGTAGAGACAGGGCTTTGCGATGTTGGTCAGGCTGGTCTCGAACTCCTGACCTCGGGTGATCCACCCATCTCGGCCTCCCAAAGTTCTGGGATTACAGGCGTGAGCCACTGTGCTTGGCCAAAATTTAAGTCTTAAAAAGGAGAAAATATTTTCTTTTTTTAATTCCTCAAAACCAAAAAGAAATATGTTGAATACCTCTTTGTATTTGATTTAATTTATAATATATTTAGAGCTGTGAAAATTTAGGGCAACAGTCAACAAAGTATGGCCTGCTGGCCTAATTTGGCCCACAGCCTGGGTTTGTAAATAAAGTTTTATTGGGACACAGTCATGTCCATTTGTGTATGCATCATCTGTGGCTGATCTCATGATATGACCACAGGTTAGTAATTGCAGCAGAAATCATTTGGGAGCCTAAAATAGTTGCTGCCGAACATTTTATGGAAAAAGCGTGCTGATCTTTGATCCACAGGGAAAAAATGGGGGTCCAGTTTGAGGGAAAGGACCAGAGAGTTTTTCTTAAAACATGTTTAAAAGACGAAGAAAATGTTTCTAAAAAGGATTCTTTCAAGTCCTTCCCCCTCCTTCCATCCCCCTCTGATAAGCTAACTTTGGGCTCAGCCAACTCTAGAACGTTATTTCCTTGCGTGCAGAGACTCTCATCTCCCTTTTTTCTGGGCCACACATGACGCAGTGATGCACAAGGAGAAGTAACAAAGGGGCATGGGAAGGAAGGGTCCTTCTGGCTCGGAGGTCAGGAGGGCAGTGGGCGGGCAGCCTCCCCCTGCCACTGGCGGGAGTCAGACTGGGCTCAGAACCCAGATGCGTCCCTCTTGCTACTCTCTCCTCCCCTGGCTTGCCCCTGCCCAGCCTGGGACAAACCATAGCTGGAACTGGGGAAGGGAGTGTGGGAAAGTGGAGGGGACCTGGGAGAGATTAACAATGCCTTCATCTATCTGAAGAGGGAAATTTGCAAGCGGAACAAAGGGCCTTCCTCTGTTGAGACTTGGGAGATCGACTTCCTACATCTTGAGGCACAGGCGAGAGGGTCTCTCCCGGGCCTCTCTGGAGTGACTGGATGAGAGTTCTGCCTAGATGATGAACCCATACCCCGCTGCACCCTCTGCCACAACCACTCAAGGTCCTGAGCCAGGGCTCTGTGCTTCTCTCCCACAGCTTTTGGCTGTGGTGTTCGACACCTTCAATGACATCGAGAAACGCAAGTTCAAGTCTTTGCTGCTGCACAAGCGAACCGCCATCCAGCATGCCTACCGCCTGCTCATCAGCCAGAGGGTAGGAGTCATGGGCCGGGGAGGGGCTTGGGCCCTGTCCTCCTCTACTTGCCCAGAGCACCCCCTAAGCATGGCCGGATGGCCAGGCCAGCGACTTTAGAAACCAGGAGCCCTGCCCTTGGGAGAATAAGCAGAGCTGGAGTGGATCTGGAGGGGGTGCCCCAAGGGAAGGGGAGTGGTCTGGGTTCCACACTGCCCTTCCCTCTCCCCCAGAGGCCCACCGGCATCTCCTACAGGCAGTTTGAAGGCCTCATGCGCTTCTACAAGCCACGGATGAGTGCCAGGGAGCGCTATCTTACCTTCAAGGCCCTGAATCAGAACAACACACCCCTGCTCAGGTAAGAGCAGATGCCTGGTGGGGGCAGGATGGCCAGACAAGGCATTCATGTCTAGGGGGAACTGGGGCATGGGAAGGCCCTGGAGGTGAGCAAGCCTAAAGGCTTGTCAGTTTCCTCCACAGAGATGGGTTTATCCATGTAGACTGGCAGACTGGGTTCATCAGGATTCCTTTTGCAAGTAACAAAAATCCAACACAAATCCCATTCAAACTGACTTAAGAAAAAAGGAGTGTATTGGCTCATGAAGTGGACTGGCCGAGCTGCTGGCCCTCGAACCCCAATGGGGTAGGATAGTCCCATGTGAGCCAGTGAACAGAGAAGGGTGAATACACTTCCCCCATCTCCCACACATTGCTGGCTGAGCCGAGATCTCCAGGGACAGGACTGGACTTCCAGGCAGTTGATGGCCAAGCCCTGTCCACAGCAGCGTGCTGTGGGCGGAGAACAAGCCCTGTTTGAGCTGCACTTGCAGCCCCAGGTGTTGCATGAAGGTCCCTGCTAAAAGGCGAAGTTTCTGTCCTCCTAAGAATCCTAGTGCTCCAGCAGCTGCCTCTCCAGGCACTGACGCTGTCTGCAGTTAGTGCAGTCGGTGTAGACTGAGTGGATTATGTATGTGTAGTGCCTCAAGGTCAGAGGAGATCCAAACGCCTGCAGGTAAAGGATCCCTGGCACTGCGGTGCTGGGACTCACACGGTGTTCTCTCCCTCCCTCCTACCCCCGCCCTGTAAAGGTGTCCATAGGCAGGCAGGTGAGAGAACCGAAGCTCAGGGGAACTGCATTCTGAGTTTTTTGTCCCTTTTTATTTTTCATATGGCAGCCTAAAGGACTTTTATGATATCTATGAAGTTGCTGCTTTGAAGTGGAAGGTAAGTGCTCCTCTGAGACCGTAGAAGGAGTGGACAGACAGGTCCCCAAGTGGAGCAGTGAGCAGGGGCACCCCGAGGTCCAGCGCTCTCCCTGCTAGAGCAGCTCAGCCCTCAGCTTGTATGGTACACTTCAGGGATCACAGGTGGCCCCCAGCCCCCATATCCGCCCTTACATTTGTGATGCAGTGTCACCAAATCTCGTTAATAAGCCTTTCTGAGTCTTGTCTTACCTGGGAAGAGGCGTAATGATAATCCCTACCGACAGAGCTATTTTCCGGGTTATACGAAAATAATGCCTCTGCATGGCACATTGTAAACACTCGGTACACACTGGCTGGCTGTGCTCTCATGCAGATCCCTGAAGGCTAATGTTGTTCCCCAGTTTAGCAGGGTGAACAGGAAAGGAAGCCAGCATCCTGGCTCCAGGGCTGGGCTCTGGTCCCTGGCCCTGACACCCTCCCTCCTGGTCCTGTTTTCTGCCAGGCCAAGAAAAACAGAGAGCACTGGTTTGATGAGCTTCCCAGAACGGCGCTCCTCATCTTCAAAGGCAAGTGGGCTTGAATGTAGCAGGTGCTTGCAGCTAGAGGTTTGCAGAGACCACAGATGAGCATCTGAGGAGCAGGTTCAGAGGGGGTGTGTGTGTGTGTGTGTGTGTGTGTGTGTGTGTGTGTATGTGTGAATGTCTGTGTGAAGAGACAGCAGGGAGATTAATGTGGTAGGAAGCAGATTAGGAGAGAAATGGGTAGCTTAACCCAACCAAGACATTTGGGGAATTTTTCTTTTTTCATACAAAAGCAAAGATATTCATTGAAGAAACTTGGAAGTCAGATAATTAGAAGTAAATAGAAATTTGCACCCAGAGATAACCACGGTTAATTCTCTGATGTGTTTCCCTCTGTGCCGTTTTTCTGTGCATTTTTAAAACAATAGGGTGACATTATGTATTCTGTTCTGTAACCTGCCTTTTGATCCAGTATTTTTACCCTCCTCTTATGGCAGGATGTATACTTACTTTGCATGACCCCTTGAATAATGCTTGTGTAGTGTAAAGTTTGAAAATTTGAAATTGGGGGCTCATATTATGTACCTGACAATTACCCCTTAATTGCATGCCTGTTTCAGCAGTGGTCAGCAAAGCTTTGTCCTGCCCTCAGTTCCAGGTTGCTCAGGCTCTCCCCAGAGCAGCTATAGTCAGTGCAGTCTTGTCCGGGGGTCTGAGCAGAAGTGTGGGTACCACTCTTTGAGCAGGACCCTCCTTCTTTCACCTCTGGGCTAAAGACCATGCTTACCTACATGCATGAAGAAGGTGGTAGGTGGCTGCACTTGCCCGGAAGGAGATGATAATAATAAAGGATTCGGTAGGGGGAACACGTGCGTAAATTTACATTTTAACATGTCTTTTCTTCAAATAGGCATTAATATCCTTGTGAAGTCCAAGGCCTTCCAGTATTTCATGTGTAAGTGTGAAATATCTCCGCTCTAGGCCACTTTCCCCCTGCTGTTCTAGAAGTGGAAGGGGCAAGAGATTGGTCCTAGAGTCCTGTGTTTGACTTTTTACTGTGGGGAATTCTCAGCTTGTATGAAAGTGGAGAGAACATTGCCCCCTGCGTGCCCATGCCCATCACCCATCTGTACCCTCACTCCAGCTCATCATCCCCTCTCTAGACCTGGATTTTTTGGAAGCAAATTCCAGAACCACAGAGTTGATTGTTTCATATATCTCTTGAGTTTGTTTTAATCTGTAGGTTCTTCTTCCTCTCTTCATGCAATATTTAGGTGAGGAAGCAGGATTTGTGTTTTGTGTGTTCCTCTGTTGCCTTTTCCTGGAACTTGGTAGTTATATCTAGAGCCATGCTGTGCAGTGTGGAAGCTACTGGCCACATGTGGCTATTTACACTTAAGCTAATTAAAGTGAAAAATTCAGCTTAACAGTCACATTTCAAGTGCTTAATAGCCACAAATGGCTAATAACTACCTGTTGGATGGTGCAGATAAGAAACTTTATTGTCACAGAAAATTCCCTTGGACAGCACTAACCTAGAGGCTTGATCCAATTCGGTCTTTCCAAGGAACTCTGGTTCCTTTTAGTGGGAAATGGTGTTAAAGACACAATTTGAGGTGCTGGGTGCCCATTGCTTGGGTTGGTCATTGTTTCTTTTTTAAAGATAAACTGTTGTGAGTTCATGCTGATACTTCACATTCAGGTCTACAGGGATTTGAAGATTGAGAGTCTAGATGTGTAAGACTGATTTCCGATTTCATCAGTCTTACACATCTAGATTCTCAATCTTTTTTTTTTTGTTTTGGAGACAGAGTCTCATTCTGTTGCCCATGCTGGTGCAATCTCATCTCACTGTAACCTCTGCCTCCCAGGTTCTAAGTGATTCTCCTGTCTCAGCCTCCTGAGTAGCTGGGGTTACAGGTGCATGCCACCACGCCTGGCTCTTTTTGTATTTTCATTAGAGATGTGATTTCACCATGTTGGCCGGGCTGGTCTCGAACTCCTGACCTGAAGTGATCCACCTGCCTTGGCCTCCCCATGTGCTGGGATTACAGGCCTGAGCCACCACGCTCAGCCTAGATTCGCAGTCTTAAAATCCAGGTTATCTTTGAAGACAATCGGACACCAACAAACATAAAAAATAAATATCCAGGTTCCCAACTACACTGGCAGAGTTATTCATTGCTTTATGTCACAGTCCCGGAATAATAATCGCAATGCAATCCCAATGATATAATTACTAGAAACCTCAGTCCAGGGATGTACATTGAGATTACTGTGGATTTTTTCTTTAGACAAGGACTTAGTCTGGCACCGCAATTTGGCACAGTCATGGTTCACTGCAGCCTCGACCTCCCAGGCTCACTCCAACCTCCTACTGCAGCCTTCCGAGTAGCAGGGACCACAGGTGCCCGCCACCACACCCAGCTCATTGTTTTATTTTTGTAGAGATGGGATATCCTCACGTTGCCCAGGCTGGTCTCGAACTCCTGGCCTCAAGTGGTTTTCCTACCTTGGCCTCCTAAAATGCTGGGATTATAGGTGTGAGCCACTGTGCCTGGCGTTGTGTTTTAAGGTCACCTGGAATAGTTCCTCTCCATGTGGACATGTCACTGACTGGATACAGATTTGGAATTCTTTATGCCATATTATTTGTTATTTTGGGGGGATTGCTTTTGGCATTTAATTTTGTTTTATGGTCAGGTGTGGTGGTTCAGACCTAAAAATCCCAGCACTTCAGGAGGCCAAGGCTGGTGGATCAGTTGAGCCCAAGAGCTCGAGAACAGCCTTGGGAACATAGTGATACCCCTGTCTCTACCAAAAATACAAAAAGAACCTGAGCCTGGGGAGGTTGAGGCTGTAGTGAGCCATGATTGCACCACTGCACTCCAGCCTGGGCAACAGAGTGAGACCCCATCTCAAAGAAAAAAACCCAAATTTTGTTTCATAATTATGTAAATTAGGGCTGGGCACGGTGGCTCATGCCTGTAATCCCAGCACTTTGGGAGGCTGAGGTTGGCGGATCACTTGAGGTCAGGAGTTTGAGACCAGCCTGAGCAACATGGTGAAACCCCATCTCTACCAAAAATAGAAAAAATTAGCCATGTGTGCCTGTGGTCCCAGCTACTCGGGAGGCTGAAGCGGGAGGATCACTTGATTCTGAGAGACAGAGGTTGCACTGAGTTGTGATGGTGCCCCTGCACTCCAGCCTGGGTAACACAGTGAGACTTCATCTGAAGAAAAAGGAAAAAAATTTATGTAAAATAGTTATACGGGTTCCAAGTCGGATCTACCAAAAAAAGTACATTCAAGGAAATTTAGTTTATATCCCATCGCTTCCTACAGTGGATAACTTTTATTCATGGCTTATCCTTCCATGATTTAAAACCTATAAGTTGGATACATATCAATATCTCTGTCTTTCACAATAGCATATTTTATGCGCTTTTTTTGCCACCTGGCTTTTTGCAGTTAACAATATGCCCTGGAGACCAATTCATAGTAATATGTAGAAATGAGGCTGGACATGGTGGCTTACGCCTGTAATTCCAGGGCTTTGGAAGACAGAGGCAGGCGGATTGCTTGAGCCCAGGGGTTCAAAACCAGCCTGGGCAATGTAGCAAACCTCATCTCTACAAAAAAACACCAAAATTAGCAGGCATGGTGGTGTGCACCTGTGTGCCTAGCTACTCAGGAGGCCAAGGTGGGAGGACTGCTTGAACCCAGGAGGTGGAGGTTGCAGTGAGCCAAGATTACGCCCCATTGCACTTCAGCCTGGGTTACAGTAAAATCCCGTTTCAAAAAAAAAAAAAAGTAATATGTGGAAATTGTACCTCATTTCTTTTCTTTTTTCTCTCAGTTCTTGCTCTGTCACCCGAGCTGGAGTGCAGTGGCACAAGCATAGCTCACTGCAACCTTGGCCTCCTGGGCTCAAACGGTCCTCTCACCTCAGCCTCCCGAGTAGCTGGGTCCACAGGTGTGCACTACCACACCTGGCTAGTTATTTTTTTGTAGAGACATGGTCTCCCTGTGTTGCCCAGGCCGGTTTCAAACCCCTGGGCTCAAGCAGTCCGCCTGCGTCAGCCTTCCAAAGTGCTGTTATTACAGGTGTGAGCCACTGTACCCAGCCCGATTCTTCTTTATGGTTACAGCATGCCACTTTATGAATGTATCATAGTCTGTTCAACCAGTCCCCTGTTGATGTGTCATTGAGATTGTTACCAGTGTTTTGCTATCACAAATAGTGCTGTGGTCTATAGCTTTCAGATACAACTTCTATTTTTGCTAGTGCATCATTGGAATGGTTTCTGAGAAGTGAGATTGCTAGGCAGATGGCCAAATGCATATGCAGTTTTGCTAAAGAGTTCATGCAATTATTTTAAAATTAGAAGTCTCTAGAGGAGGCCAGGTGCGGTGGCTCATGCCTGTAATCCCAGCACTTTGGGAGGCTGAGGCAGGTGGATCACCTGAGGTCAGGAGTTCAAGACCAGCCTGACCAACATAATGAAACCCTATCCTACTAAAAATATAAAAAATTAGTCAGGCATGGTGGTGCGCACCTGTAACCCCAGCTACTCTGGAGGCTGAAGCAGGATAATCACTTGAACCAGGAGGCGGAGGTTTTAGTGAGCCAAGATCGGACCATTGCACTCCAGCCTGGGCAACAAGAGCAAAAAACTCCATCTAAAAAAAAATGTCTCTAGGGGAAAACAAATGGTTTCAATACTTGAATGCCTTATACACTGTTCATCTTTTACACCAATTTGGGATAATCCCTATGTTATAACTGGTCTTTATATAGTGATGGAGTGTTTTTAGAAATTCGTAGCAGTTTCTAGGTGAAAACACTGGTTGATTTAGCTCCCTCGGTAAGAGCACTGAGCAGAAGGATGTTCCCTATCAAATGGGTGTGTGGAGCAGCCCTGTTCTCCCCAACCCTAGAGCTCTAGGAAGTTAACCAGGGACTGCAGTTGTGACCTGCACATTTCTAAGCCCACCTGTTATTTCTCTGTCTTTTACGGGCCTCTGTATTTCAGACTTGGTGGTGGCAGTCAACGGGGTCTGGATCCTCGTGGAGACGTTCATGCTGAAAGGTGAGCCCCCCCCTTGGGACCTGGCCATGTCCTGGCTGGCACACCCGGCTTGCCCATGAGCTGCTACCTCTCTGTCTTACAGGTGGGAACTTCTTCTCCAAGCACGTGCCCTGGAGTTACCTCGTCTTTCTTACCAGTAAGTTTCTGACGTGGCTTTGCTGGGCTGCTTGTTTTAAACACTGCCTGGGAGAACTTTCATTCAGTATAGAGCCTCATGGTTCGTTAAAACAGGAAGCTATAAAGAGATGGAGTAATTAGTCTGATTCCATCTCGTCCCTTTTTAAAACTCTATCGTGGTTGTCCACTGCCTTCTGGATGGAGTCCAGATCCTAGGCGTGCGTGGCCTACCACTCGGCTCTGCAGCCCCGCTGCTTGCCAGCGCCGCAGCCCTGCCTGCACGCTGTCACCCTCCTCAGCAGCCTCTGCTCCCAGCTGCTCTTGCCTGCCTCTGGGCTGTGCACAGGGGTTTCCAGGGCCTGGTGGTGTCTCCCTCTGGCCTCTGCCTGACTCTCCTGCCCTTTCTGTCAAGTGTTGTCATTCCCTGTTGGCGTCTTTCCTCCCACTGCGTTGATAAGCTCTGGGCCCTCGCTGTGCTGGAGTGCAATGGTTGCCCAGGGTTGCCCTGCACTGGTCACTGTTGCATACCCGGTACCCAGTACAAGGCCCAAGATGGAAGGGGGTGGTCAGGACACACTTGTCGGATGGACAGATGGTTAGCTGGGCCCTGTCTGGAGATGGGGAGGGAGGATTTTTCTCTCATTTTTTTTTGGCAGGATCTTTCTCTGTCAGCCAGGCTGGAGTGCAGTGGTGTGATCATGGCTCACTGCAGCCTCAACCTCCTGGGCTCAAGGGATCCCGAGTAGCCTCAGCCTCCCAAGTAGCTGGGATTACAGGCACACAGAGCCACCGTGACCTGCTAATTTTTGTATTTTTTTGCAGAGATGGGGTCTCACTCTGTTGCCCAGGCTGGTCTCCAACTCCTGGGCTCAAGGGATCCTCCTGCCTTGGCCTCCCAATGTGCTGGGTTGACAGGCGTGAATCACTACACCTGGCCAGTTTCTCTTAAGCAGATTGCGCAATTGGTCACCATCTGGGCCCTCTCCTGGAGCACCTGCTCTCACAGTGGGACATGAGTGAGGCCTGGGCTCAGCCTGGAGGGCACGTGGCCAGCAGGGAGGCTACAGACTGCAGAGGAGCCACAAAGAGGAGACGGAGCATGGGGGAGGATGTGGCGGGGCTGCTGCCGATGGCTCCTTCTGTCCGCAGTCTATGGAGTGGAGCTGTTCCTGAAGGTCGCCGGCCTGGGCCCTGTGGAGTACCTGTCCTCCGGATGGAACCTGTGAGTGGACAGCATGTTTCTGACCCAAAGCTGAGACTCTGAGGACGGCCACAGACCCTTCTCTGCACACCCCAATGTCCAGGCCGTTTCTGGAATTGCGGAGGGAAGGTCTGAGGATGGGCCAAGCCCTGTGTCTCCCTCCAGCAGTCCTGCCCGAGGCTCAGAAACTCTCCAGGATCAGGCCCTTGTCTGAAGCCTCTCACAACCCCCATGCCTGTCCTTCTGGAAATGGCCTCTTGAGGTGCCGCAGGCTGGCCTTCTCTTCCTGAGTCATTAATCTTTTTTCTCTTCCATAAAAACCACAATGCCCGCAAAGAAGAATGTTCCCCTGCCTCCCCTGATCAGCAGTGATGAGGCTCACCTACCCCTCTCCCTGTTCCACAGAGCGGGAGGTCACTTTCCTGCCCTGTTAAAGCTAACCGGCCTGTGAAGTCAGGCTGCACTCATGAGGTCTTGGGCTGTGAGGGTGAGCAGGTTAACACACGCTGGGAGGAGCCGACAGCACACGTGTGGGCCCTGCGTGTCTGGAGAGGAGAGAGGGTCCTCTGGCTTGGGCAGGGCAAGCTGTTCGGGGAATCTGCTCTCTTTCCTCAAAAAGTTCCTTGGGGTCAGGCTGGTCCACGGTGTGTAACCAGATGTCTGTTGAGCAGAAGACGAGGCCTGTCTCCAGGGCTGCAGAAGACGAGGCCTGTCTCCAGGGCTTCAGAGGCCGGGCTTCTTTCCTCCCTGTAGTCAGACCAGCACAGGGCCCTTTGGAGGGGGTTCCTGGGCATTTCTGGCCCAGGGGTCAGCGCTGAGGCCTGACCCTCGAGACATGTGCTGGGACAGGGCCTGGCTACCTTGAAACCCTAGGGGTGGCAGGAAGTTCTTCCTGCAGCCAGCCAGGGCCTGTTGGTGTTGCTGTGTCTAGGCTCCGTGGGAGGGTGGCTGTGCAGAGGGCCAGGGAGGGGAGCAGGTGCAGGGAGGTTCAGGGCCATGGGGTGGAGCTCAGCCTCTCCCCTCCCGCAGGTTCGACTTCTCTGTGACGGTGTTCGCCTTCCTGGGACTGCTGGCGCTGGCCCTCAACATGGAGCCCTTCTATTTCATCGTGGTCCTGCGCCCCCTCCAGCTGCTGAGGTGATGGGGCAGGGCAGGGCTGGAGATGGAGATGGAGAAATAGAGGGAGGATGGCAATGCCACAGGATTGGTCTGGGAAGTGACCCAGAATGGGCCAGAAGGCTCACAAGCCAGAGTCACAGATGTCACCCCCTGCAGAAGCACCATGGGGTCACCGTCCCCACCGCTGAGGGCGTGCAGGCTGCCTGTGCCCCTCACCTCACCGCACCAGGTGCTTCTGGGCAGAGAAACCCAGCCCATGACTCATGTTCACCCCACCCGAGGTGGCATTGCACTGGCCACAGGAGCCCATGTGCTCAATCACAGATGACAGAGCCACAGGTCTGAGGGTTGGAAGGGCCTTTCAGGGACCCATCATGCTTCTCTGGCTCAGCCTCTTGTGGAGAAAAACCCTTGTGTGAGTCCCACTGACTTCCCAGGGACACCGAATGAAGTGCCAGGCGAGCCTGCCCCACTGACGGTGTCTCTTCCTTTTTTTTTTTTTTTTTTTTTTTTTTTTTTTTTTTTTTTTTTTTGAGATGGAGTCTTGCCCTGTCGCCCAGGCTGGAGTGCAATGGTACGATCTCACTGTAACCTCTGCCTCCTGGGTTCAAATGATTCTCCTGCCTCAGCCTCCCGAGTAGCTGGGATTACAGGGGCCCACCACCACACCCAGCTAATTTTTGTATTTTTAGTAGAGATAGGGTTTCACTATGTTGGCCAGGCTAGTCTCAAACTCCTGACCTTGTCATCTACCCGCCTCGGCCTCCCAAAGTGCTGGGATTACAGGCGTGAGCCACCCTGCCTGACTGATGGTGTCTCTTCCTAATGAGGGCTCCCGAGGTCCTGTGCACTCAGAGCCTGGGTTTGCTTCTTGACCCTCCAGCTGCAACCCCATCCAATTCTGTCGCCCTGTCCTCTCCCTAGGAGGAGAGGGGACGCGCAGGATAGGCGCTGGGAGGGGTGGTGGCATCTGTGGAGGAAAAGCCTCCCCCTTGGCATGTGGGGGTGGCCTGGAGCTGGGCCTGAGTATCCACATCCCTCCCACCCTCTGCCACCCTTCTTTGCCGGAGGGCTCCCTTGCCCCAACTCCCCGGGGAACATGGGCTTATCCTCCCTCGTTCCCAGGAGCAAGGCCTTGCTCCTGTCTGAGCCTGCAGCTCTACTGCAAGGCGACGCAGCCTGGCCCTGCTCCTTTTTGTGGAAGGGCCCCACCCAGCCTGTGTCTTAGGGCTGCCATCGTCCTTTCCCTCATGCATGAGTCATCTGAGCCAAGCTCGGGGCTGGTGGTGCCCAGGGGAACAGACGCAGGTGGAGGAGAGGTCCTCACCTGTCTTCACCTTGAGGCGTGTAGAGGGCAGGGCCGGCAGGGGATTCTGAGGGTGGGGGCTGAGGCGTGCGCCTGTGTGTGGAGGTGACGGGTGTCCTCTTCACTCAGGTTGTTTAAGTTGAAAGAGCGCTACCGCAATGTGCTGGACACCATGTTCGAGCTTCTGCCCCGGATGGCCAGGTACTGCCAGCCCTCAACCCGGCCCGCAGGTCCAGGTGCCGTGTGGCAGTGCCCCGTGGGTGCGGGAGCCGAGTAGCAGTTGGGGGAAAGGAGTTCCACAAAGGACTGGAATCGGGGTCCTGACGGGGCTGCAAGGAGCCGGGAACCCTGACCACCACAGGTCTCCTGGGCACCAACATTTTCTCCACTGACCTGTCTGACATATTTAGTAGGGAGGGCAGGGAGCTGTCAACTCGCTTACCGCCTGTGTCTACATTCACAGGTAAGGGGTCACCTGTGAGTCTACCTTCACAGGTAAGGGGTGAATCTCTGGGAAAGGGGCATCTGTTCCTAGAGTCCTGACTTGAGCTGTTTTTCACCCCAGAGCTGCCCCACGAGGCCCCTTCCCCACAGGCACTTTCCAGCTGGTGAACCGACCGGGGGCGTGGCCCTGCAGTCAGCCCTGGGGTCCAAAGAGGCCGGGGCTACGGAGGAGTTGTTTCCTCCTGCCGGCCTCGCGTCACCCTGCCCCTGTCGCCCCACAGCCTGGGACTCACCCTGCTCATCTTTTACTACTCCTTCGCCATCGTGGGCATGGAGTTCTTCTGCGGGATCCTCTTCCCCAACTGCTGCAAGTGAGTAGGCGGTGGCCAGAGGCACCTAGCCCCGGGCAGCCTGCATTTCCAGGGCAGAGGGCTGACCAGGGCCAGAATTGGCGTCCTTGTGGCCTTGGGGTCCTTGGGGTTGCTCCTCTCTAAGCAGCCACCTTGCTTTGCTTTCAGGGCTTAGTTGAGTGTAGTGAGCTACACGAGGGACCTGGACTTGGGGTCCGTGTTTCCCCATCCCCCCAGGTAGCATTGGGAACCATCAGCTCACCGGAGGCTACCCCTAAAGTAGCCTGTGTCCCGAGGTCAAGTCCTATGGCTTCCTCCCACTTCTCTCCTGGAGTGGCTGGGGACCTGGGCCAAGACCAGTCTTCTAGGGACATGTGCAGGAAGGTCACCGAGCTCAGGGATGGAGAGCAGAGAGTGAAATCTCCCATGAGCACTCCCTTTCTCCTAAGCCGCCATAGTGAAATCACTGCACCGCCATTCATTCATTCTCAATTCAGAGTTCTCTTACATTTGGTCTCTGCGGCCTCAAGCACTGATAAAGAAACAGTTTTACAAAGACACTGGTAGCTTTGAGTGTCAAGCTTGGTCTGGAACCAGAAGCCTATAGCTGTGGGTCCCAGACTTTTGAGCATATCACAGTCACCAGGGAGCTTAATGCAAGCTCCAGACTTCACCTGTGTGTCTGATGTGAGTGTGTGGGAGGAGCCTCCCTGGTGGCCCAAGCACTGGACTTTTATAAACATTAGCATGCATATTAACAGAACAGCCATAAAGGATGGAAGGAAAGTGGCAAATATGAGCTCCTCAAAACAGGCTGGAGTGCAATGACGCAATCTCACTGCAACCTCCACCTCGGGTTCAGACGATTCTCGAACAGGACCAACCTTTTCAAATACTTGCTCAGGCCAAGTATCAGAGAGCCCCAGTAGGGAATTCCTTCCCTGGGGCTGTGGCCTGGTGTCCAGACTCAAGAGCAGATCCTAGACAGGGCAGGTGCAGAGGAGGCCTTTGCCTCTCCTCTGTCCCCTGTAGGCAGCGGTGAGAGAGAAGGCTGCACCTGCAGCAGAGAACTGCTAGGTGACAGGTGACAGGTGCCTGGGGTTCCCACCAAGCCCAGCAGGCAGGAGTGACCAAAGGCCTTCCCCTAGCAGGGCCCAGGCATGAGGTGGAGAGGGTTAGGCAGGAAAGCAGGCTGCAGGCAGCACGGGAGGATCCTGGGCCAGACCTTGGTTTGTTTCAGAATTCTGTCCTCTCTGGAGGTGACCCATCGCCTTGTGACCCTCCCTCCTTTCTCCCTTGTGCTCCGGCCAGCACGAGTACAGTGGCAGATGCCTACCGCTGGCGCAACCACACCGTGGGCAACAGGACCGTGGTGGAGGAGGGCTACTACTATCTCAATAATTTCGACAACATCCTCAACAGCTTTGGTGAGTGGGAAAAATCACAGGGGGGACGTTCCCTGGAAACCCCACCCTTGTCACCACGGGTCCCAGAGGTGATACAGCGAGTGTCTGGGCCTCTCCCTCCAGCACCAAGGGGCACACTTTCTGGCACCTCCCTGGCCCAGGTGGAGGGCGTGGTCTGCCCAGCCTTGGCAGTGCAGGCCAGGCCGGATCCCGGAGCGCTCTCGGCCGCCCGCTTCCACTCTTTTCCCTGATACCTTCTCAGTATTGGAGAAGAGAAGAGTTGTAGGCCTTAGCTGGGTGGGTTCCCCTCGTCACAGTGCCACTCACAGGGTGGGACCCAGCCACACCAACGCTGCTGCAGCTGCACTGCCCCCCAGCTCAGGCTGCACACGGCCCTGTGCCCACCCCCATGAAGAGGAGAACACAGCCAAGCAGCCTCTCCAGAAAAAGGGTGTGCCCCCATGACACCGCAGATCTGCACCTAGTGAGATCCGGATGGGTCTGGTGTGCACAGGCTGCCGAGGCAGAAGGTGTGCCCTCCTGGGGCCAGGCCACAATGGCAGAGCTCCCGGTGGAGCCAGCGCCCCACAAGGGCCTTGCCTGGTCCTTCCTGGAGCTCGCAGCACAAGTGGGCATATGGTGACCCCCTCGTCTTAGCACATGGTACCCGGGATAGGTTTGAAGTGTGGTCTCATCAGGATGCTGCTTTCTCCCTTCCCTCGGCAGTGACCCTGTTCGAGCTCACAGTGGTCAACAACTGGTACATCATCATGGTAAGAGCTCGGGCAGCTTTGGGGGTGTCCTCCCACCAGCCCTGGGTCTCCCCTCACCCAGGGTGTATCATTCTTCCTGTACCCCACAGGGCTGGGGGTCTTGAGTCACGCTGTGTTGGTGTTCTGTGGGGAGGCCACAGTATGGCTGGACCCCGGGAGCCACCCCTCCAAGCATTGGCGGACTCGGCTGTCACTCCCATCTCTCTGCATGTTCCCAGCAGCCAGGAGATGCCACTTAGACTCTGGGTCTCTGTCCCGTCTCCCCCACCGTAGAGATGACTTTTCCCTCTAGTGACTATACATCAGTCATTGCCACTCTCTATTCCATTCCTTAAACTCTTCCGACTCCCAGCCCTACTGGGATGAAGGCTGCCCTGGTTCTGGATCCAGCTGTCCAGGGGAGCGGCCGGGCTCCTTCAGCAGCCGGAATTAGTCAGGAATTAGTGTTAGACCCAGAGGGGCGAGCTCCCTCTCCTCCGTCTCTCACAACCAGCCGCAAATCAGGGTGGGGTCTGTGAAGAGCTGGGGAGCCTGGCTCCGGGCTGGGGCCATGGGGCAGCCCGTGCAGACAGGGACCTGCCCTGCTGGCATGGGTCCCCTCACTGGCTGCTCCATTGGTCTCCAGGAAGGCGTCACCTCTCAGACCTCCCACTGGAGCCGCCTCTACTTCATGACCTTTTACATCGTGACCATGGTATGTCCCAGGCCCCAGAATGCTCTTTGCCCTTCGTCTTCCACGTCACCAGCTGCCCCAGCTCCTCAGGCTGCAGCATCAGGGAGTGGGACTGGGTCCCATCTGGCGGGCTCTGTTGGGGGTGGGCCATGCAGCCACAAACACCCACCCACCCTCCTGCCCTGTCTCCGCCCCTCCCTCCCTGTCCCTGGCCAGGTGGTGATGACGATCATTGTCGCCTTCATCCTTGAGGCCTTCGTCTTCCGAATGAACTACAGCCGCAAGAACCAGGACTCAGAAGGTCCGTGACACCTTGGGCGTTTGTGTGCCGCCCACCCAGTTCTAGCTGTCCCGGTGGCCTTCCAGCCAGCCATGAGGCTGGCCTTTTTCGGCTGTCTGGTTGTCCAGCTTCTCTGTCTGGCTTGTCTTTCTAGGTCTCCTATTTGCATTGATTTTCAAATAGTTAATGTCAGAAAACATGGTCCATCTAACTTTAAAATAAAAACAGTGACGTCATAGTTGAAGAATCAAGTAGTAGAGAAAGGCTTACGTGGTGGCAGCAGCCCGTGTCCTGCCTTCCCCGCCCCGTCCTCCAGAGGCGTCTCCCTCCTAGCTGTTTCTTCTTTTAGTCATCTCCACGTTTCTCAATAATAGGTTCACACTACGGTTCTTGATTTAAACAGTGTGAATACTGTTTACCGCACCGGCAAATTGTATTCCTGCTGCAGCTGGACGGCGCTGGATTTAGTGACTGCCTCACTCTTCCCAGATTGCATAGTTTTCTGTGTACTGATCCTCTCTTCTTCCCAAATTCTCCATCAAAACTGTCCACACGTGATCGCTCGAGCTCAAGAGGTCGAGGCTGCAGTGAGCCATGATCACATCACTGCACTCCAGCCTGGGCAGAGTGAGACCCTGTCTCTTTAATTTTTTTTTTGAGATGGAATCTCCCTCTGTCTCCCAGGCTGATAAGCAATGGCGTCATCTCAGCTCACTGCAACCTCCGCCTCCCGGGTTCAAGTGATTCTCCTGCCTCAGCCTCCCGAGTAGCTGGGATTACAGGCACCCGCCACCATGCTCAACTAATTTTTGTATTTTTAGTAGAACAGGTTTTCGCCATGTTAACCAGGCTGGTCTCAAACTCCAGACCTCATGATTTGCCTGCCTCGGCCTCCCAAGTGCTGGGATTAGCCACTGCGCCCAGCCTGAGATCCTGTCTCCTAAACAGAAAACCCCGTGCCCACACCTGTTACTCCTCCTCCTCATATCTCTGTGGTATCAGACCGTCTGGCCATTTTCTTTGCTTGGAGGCCCCTTCCTGAAACCCTGTGGTCCTGTAAGCTGCTGGCTAGACCTGCGCTCCTGACCTCACAGCAGAGGAAGGGGAAGGGAAGAGGGCCGAGGCAGAGAACAGGACACCAGTGCAGTGTTGGCTTAGAGAGGGAAACTTAAGACCCCCCGCGGAGAGGTGCAAGGACAATAGTCAAACGAGACCCAGCCAGGTTGGTGGCGTCAGCCCCCAGCCCTTCCCACACCCGCCCTCCCTCCCTGCAGTTGATAGTGGCATCACCCTTGAGAAGGAAATCTTCAAAGAAGAGCTGGTTGCTGTCCTGGAGCTCTACCGCGAGGCACGGGGCACCTCCTCGGACGTCACCCGGCTGCTGGAGACCCTCTCCCAGATGGAGAGATACCAGGTGAGGAGGCCAGGCCCCAGTCTGAAGGAGGAAGGCGGGTTTCAGCGTGGCGTAATCCCTCCCCTCAGATGCTGGTAACATCTTGAGTGACACAGTTGCAAAAGCCAGAGAAGTGGGAGAGGCCAGCTGTGGCAGCAGAGGTGGGTCCTGAACATCTGCAGCTGAGCCCTACAGCCTCTGCTCTTCCTTAGCAACATTCCATGGTGTTTCTGGGACGGCGTTCAAGGACCAAGAGCGACCTGAGCCTGAAGATGTACCAGGAGGAGATCCAGGTAGGAGCATGGCCGACCGCGCTGTGAGTCGTCCCCCAACTTCGCCCTGGGAGGGGCAGGGGGCTGATCTCTGGGCCTCTGAGTAGAGGAGGAAGGCTGGTGGAGAGCCTTCCATTGGGACCACCACTGGGGTTGTGTGGGACCTGGGTGGGGCCGCTCAGCCTTGAACCCTGGACTGGCTCACAGCGGAGGCAGCTCTCCCCTCTGCCTGCTGCCATGTCCCTGCCCCTTAGGAATTCTCCAGAACCTCCTCTCCATCCCTTATTCTGAGTCCGAGCTGCAAACTCAAACGTGTGTAGCAAGAAACACAGCGAGCATAGAGGAAAGAGCAGAGACAGTCGTGAGCTGGCAAGGATGTCTTGTCCAAAGTGGCTGCCTCTTCCCAGTCCCAGCGAGGGTTGCCCAATAGGAAGAAAGCCTCACTGTGCTCAAGCCACTTGCTGGTGGTTTGTTTTGAGATAGAGTCTCCCAGGCTGGAGTGCAGTGGTGTGATCTCGGCTCACTGCAACCTCCACCTCCCGGGTTCAAGCGATTCTTCTGCCTCAGCCTCCTGAGTAGCTGGGATTACAGGTGCACAGAACCACGCCCGGCTAAATTTTGTATTTTTAGTAGAGACAGGGTTTCACTATGTTGGCTAGGCTGGTCTCAAACTCCTGACCTCAAGTGATCCACCTGTCTCGGCCTTACAAAGTGCTGGGATTATAGGTGTGAGCCACCGTGCCCAGACTGCCTTTTCTTAAATTAGAAGCCAGAGGTTATAATCATGGCCTTAGACGGGTACACTGTTTGACATTTCCAGAATGCCTTCACATTCCTGTTGAAGGGTGAAGGTTAGGTGAGGCATTCAGCAGGATGCAGTTCTGAGCCTCGGTGTCTCAGGTGTGGAACAGGGGCACAGTTCCTGCCAAGCTCAAAAGGGGTCACCCGGGGGGGACCCTTTCGTGAAGGACAAAAGTTTATGCTCATAAACAAGGGATGAGGTTGTTCCTGCCTGGGCGTGTTAGAGAGCTGTCATGCGCCAGCCTCCAGACACTAGGGGAAGATTTCATTGTCATTTTTGCTTCTGGGGCCATATTCAAAATTCTCAGCATTTCTGAGCCTGTGACGGGGGAGTTTCAGTACCAGCTGTGTGAGGCTGGCAGCCCTGCCCCCTCCAGCCTGGATGCCGTTGGCTGTCAGACCCTGCAGCTCGATGACCTTGTGGGGTGGGTGGGGCAGGGGGTGGGGTGCAGGCCTCAGCGCCCCCTCTGCTGTCTGCTCCAGGAGTGGTATGAGGAGCATGCCAGGGAGCAGGAGCAACAGCGTCAGCTCAGCAGCAGCGCAGCCTCCGCCACCCAGCAGCCCCCAGGCAGCCGCCAGCGCTCCCAGACCGTCACCTAGCCCAGTGCCCGAAAACCGTCTCTTCTATGCAATAACACAATAGTATCGCTCTACTTCGACGTCCGGAACTGCGGCGTGTGTACGCATACTCACGTATATGCACATATTTATATAGAGGAAGAAAGCAGACAGACGAGAGGGGGCTTGGTTTATAACCACCTTGCCCTGTTTTCCTTAACTCCACAAGCCAGTTTGGTGAGGGGTGGGGTGCAGCCACTAGGTCTGAGCTCTTCCTGCTGTGGAAGGCTCCGGAAGCCCCTTCCCAAGGAGACCCCTCACCTGGATCCAGCTGACTCTGCGGGGCTGGCCTCCCACGTGGGCCAGCCTCCATCGGCCACATCCAAAGCCATCAGTGCTGCTGCTTCAGGCGCACGTCTCCCTGACCTGACGGCATCCCCACCCCTGCTGCCTGCGGCCCATGCCACAGGTTCCTGTGTCTTTAGGGACAGAACCACTTAGGAAGGAAAGAACCCCCAGTCTCCAGGGTGGTATTTCAATGTATATGATAATGTCATGGAACGCTTCTTTGGGGACCAGTGCCCAGGACCTAATGGAAAGAGGAACTGGGGTGATTGTACCCAGGTGGCCAAAGCTCAGCTAGCCAGTGCTGGGCGGCAGCAGATTACGCTGAGCAGTCTCTCTCGGCTCTGCAGCCCTCCCACGCAGCCTTCTCCGGCTTAACCCTTGTTGGCGAAAATCCTTCCACAGTGGCCTCCTGGGGGATGCAGACCCCGGAGGAAGGGGCGTGAGGCAGGAAGTGGGGCTGACGCCTGTAAGCCAAACAGCTTCCTGGAATGGGCTTTCTTGACCAAATCCCTTTTGCGATTTACCCGTTCAAGCAAAACGATATGTTGTTGAATTAACATATGTGCTAAAGCTGGTAGCAGGTCCTTCACACGTGTGCACTAGAAATGGGAGCGACCAGCAGAGACGCTCCCTGTGGGACGCAGCAGCCCCGTGGCCCCGGCCCAGCTCTCAGCCGCCCTCCCTCCCTGCCTCTGCTCACCCCAGAGATTTCCGTAGCAGGATTGGTTGGTGCAGAAGTAGGTTCGGATGAACTGTTAACATCCACCACTCTTGCCCGCCACGGCACCTTTTGGGAGCTCTGCAGGACATCCGAGCATGGTGGAGGTAGGAGGGTTGCCAGCTGTGGTGACAGGCAGTGGTGGCCACACAGGCAGAGTCAGTTCAGAGGCCTCTTTGGTTCTGCTTCCCTGGAGCACAGCACAGGTTCTACAGCAGGAGCCGCAGCAGCAGCATGAAGGGTGCAGGGGAGGGACAGGCATGCGCTGTGGGGTGCTCTGGGCCACAGGTGGACGCAGGCTCCCTCTGGCCTCGTTCTTTTCCCGGCCACAAAATGGGCAGGGTGGGGCCTTACCCCAGGGAGCAGTGCCTGGTCCCCCAACCCCTGCTCCCTACCCCCTCCAGGACCAAGCTGGGTCCCATAGCCAACACGGCCTGGTTCTCCCCTTCACGGAGTTAGTCCAGTGGTGGGTGTTTATTTTTAAAGCACAGCCCTATGGGAAAACAGCGAATCATGGAGAATCACTGTGATTCCTCTGGGAGTCAGACTGGCTTTGTCCTCTTCCTCTCTGGAGAGCCATGGGCCATCACCGGGAGCTCTACATTGAGCCCCAGGCCAGAACCCCCTCCCTTTCGCAGAGAGGGAACTTTATTGCATAATTGGGTGCCTTTTAGCTTTTGTGTGTTGAAATGGGCATTTTGGAAGTAAGGGTCAGGTCTCTGACCTGAGCATCTGGGCCTCAGACTCAGCCCTTCCTTCCCAAGGGTGGGTGGAAAACTGGAGGGGCCAGCAGCACCCTGGGGTCTGTCCAGGGGAGTTGAGACCCCAGGGTGGGAGGGTCTATTCCAGGAGAAGTGGCATCTCCGCCCTGTTCAGAGCGAGTTAGTGCGTCCATCCTCCCAACCCTGTCCTGAGAAAGAACCTGGTTTTGGCCAGGACCCGACAAATACCCAATGGCAGCAGTGTCAACAGGCCAGAGTCCAGCCAGGGTGGGCGGCCTTGTCATTGAGGCTAGGGACAGCTATCCCCGGGTTACCCCTGGCCTCCCACAAGCAGGGAGCGGGGGTCTCCCACAGGCTGTGAGCTCTGAGGGCCCTGGGATGTGATCTAGCTTAGATGTCCTCTCATCCCCGATATCACAGTTGAGTGCACCCAAGTGACACTCACTGGCGCCGGGGCCTTAGCCTGGCAGTGGGAGCAATGGCATTGTGCCCTCCCCAGCTCCTCGCTTCCCCTCCCCCAGCCCCAGCCTTACTCCACCATGCGGACAATCATTTTGTAGGGATCACGGGAGCAATGCTGTATGGTTTTGTACGTTGGTGATTTGTTACCTAGAAAACCCACTGTGTCTCTGGATTTCTGGCATATTAATAAAAGAGCCTCTGCTTTGTAAATGTGGCTGCTGCCTCTTGACTTACGTGGCTTCAGGTATTGTGCAGAGAGTGGCTCCATCCAAGGCCATGGCCATTCCTGATCCTGCCTCAGCCCCGCCCGAGCCCTGCCCTGGGATGAGCCACTCAGTGCTGGCCCCGGGTGACGAAGAAGAACTGGTAAAAGTTGGGTGTGTCATTTTCTCTACACTCGAAATTTTGAATTATTTTTTTATTTGTAAAAAAGTTTTATTTTTTTCATTCCCAGCATAAGGCAGTTGCAAACCTAAGAGTTGCTTATTTTGGCAACATAAGGCGGGGTCACAGCATGACAGCAGGAAGGCACGAGGGCTCCCCATCTGTCCTTCCCCAGCTCACAGGCCGTGGAGCCCACTCAGGGACCCCCCCGAGGGAGGCAAAGGCACAGTCCTATGGACTTCTGCTTGGCAGCTGGAGAAGCAAAGGCTCGGGCACAAACAAAGGACTTGTGGGCAGTCAGGGGCGGAATCCTAGAGGAAGCGTCTGACCGCCGCCCCATGTGGCAGCTGCGGGCATAGCAGTGCCTTGGGCTGATGGTGTTTTTGGAGCAAGTGGGTTCAGTGAAGTGTATCGCCACGAATGGCACCCGCTGCTTTTGGCTTTATAAACGTGGCAAGGCGAAATTCAAAATTAAGTACGTCTTGAGTTTTGTTTCTGGCAGACAGTGCGGCTCTGGAGCCCAGCCCTCAGTGGCCTGATTCCCTGGGGTCTGAGCCACCCTCATTCTCTGAGGGCTGGGCAGCCACTTGTGCCCTGAGAAGGTGCTAGTAGGCCTGAAGCTCAGGCAAGGGGAATGGGCAGCGCCTGTGTCTCGGGTGCCTCCAGCATGGCCTGGAACACACCCAGCCAATCTTCCCCAAACCCCAGCCCTTCTCAGAGGGGTTCTGGGGGTCATTCAAGGGTGCCTTCTAGCTTCTCTCTGGAACCCTTTGTCCAGAGCAAAGCCTGGTTTCCAAAGTCCCCACAGCAAGGCTGTTGGGTGCTGGCAGTGAGAGGGACAGAGCAGTTCTCTCAGCTCACAGCAGTGACCTCAGATATCCAGCAGCAAGGGCCGCGCACTTGTGCCCACAGGAGCCCTGCAGAAATGCTCTGGTCCCAGGCCTCCCCTGGCAGGAGGGCGGGGCTCTTGCCAGCAGTGAGGCCACAGCACTAAGTGGCTTCAGTCACATGCTTTTCAGGTGAATCACTCCAAATTCAGTGAGGAGGGCCACAACGAGGAAGTTCACATAGAAGAGGAGCAGGCAGAAGCCGTAGACTCTGCTGAGCCTGAAGCACTGCAGTGGGACTGAGACCAGGGAGAAGACGAGGCTGAGCCCCAGGGCGCCCGCCAGGACCCACACCAGCAGTCCGTCTGGCTCCAGCTGTGGAAGAATGAGGGGAGAGGGGCTGTGTCACTGCCTGTTACAGCCCCCACCCCACCTCTGGCCAACATAACAATGCAGCCTCAACAATACAACCTCAACAGTGCAGCCTCGATGTACCCTCAACAACAATGCAGCCTCAATGCACCCTCAACAACAATGCAATCAACAACAATGCACCATCAACAATGTACCTTCAACAACAATGTAATCAACAGTGCACCCTTAACAACGAAGCCTCAAGAATGCACCCTCAACAATGCAGCCTCAACATCAATGCAGCCTCAACAGCAATGCAGCCTCAACAATGCAGCCCCATCAACAATGCAGCCTCAGTATACCCTCAACAACAGTGCAGCCTCAGCAATACAACCTCAAAATGCAGCTTCAATGTACCCAACAACAATGCACCCTCAACAACAATGCAGCCTCATCAACAATGCAGCCTCAGTGTACCCTCAACAATGCAATCAACAACAATGTAATCAACAGTGCACCCTTAACAACAACGAAGCCTCAAGAATGCACCCTCAACAATGCACCCTCAACAATGCAGCCTCAACAATGCAGCCCCATCAACAATGCAGCCTAAGTATACCCTCAACAACAGTGCAGCCTCAACAATACAACCTCAACAATGCAGCCTCAATGTACCCTCAACAACAATGCAATCAACAACGATGCACCCTCAACAATGCACCTTCAACAACAATGTAATCAACAGCACACCCTTAACAACGCAGCCTCAAGAATGTACCCTCAACAATGCACCCTCAACAATGCAGCCTCAACAGCAATGCAGCCTCAACAGCAATGCAGCCTCATCAATAATGCAGCCTCAATATATACCCTCAACAGTGCAGCCTCAACAATACAACCTCAAAATGCAGCCTCAATATACCCTCAACAGCAATGCACCCTCAACAATGAAGTCTCAAGAATGCACCTTCAACAATGTACCTTCAACAACGAAGCCTCAAGAATGCACCCTCAACAATGCAGCCTCCACAACAATGCATCCTCAACAATGCAACCTCAATGCACCCTCGACAGTGCAGCCTCAACAACAATGCTATCTCGGCCAGGCACAGTGACTCATGCCTATAATCCCAGCACTTTGGCAGGCCAAGGCGGGTGGATCATTTGAGGTCAAGAGTTTGAGACCAGCCTGGCCAATGTGGTGAAGCCCTGTATCTACTACAAATATAAAAATTAGCCAGGCATGGTGGTGGGAGCCTGTAATTCCAGCTACTGGGAAGGCTGAGGGAGGAGAATCACTTGAACTCAGGAGGCAGAGGTTGCAGTGAGCCGAGATCGCACCACTGCACTCCAGCCTGGGTGACAGCAGGACTGTCTCAAAAAAAGAAAGAAAAACAACGATGCAGCCTCCACAATGTTTGAGGCACCAGCTAGGGGCCAGTTGAGGATGAGTGGCCTGCAGCAGCCCAGCCTGCCCTGTGGGATGGTAGGCCACACCCTGAAGTTACCCAGACATAGCCCCAGAAGTTTCCAGACTCCAAAGCAGCAGGCAAAGGGAATCTTCACTTTCAACTTCAGCCAGGTCCACCTGCCTGGGTGTCTCTCCCCTGCCTCAAGTCTGATGTCATTATAATTGCCTCTGTAATGCTGAACTCTAGTTAATGACATGCACAAGCTGATGTCCACCATTTATTGTGAAGTGTATCAAGAAAGAACATGGATGCGTTAGACTGGGCACAGTGGCTCATGCCTGTAATCCAGCACTTTGGGAGGCCAAGGTGGGCAGATCACTTGAGGTCAGGAGTTCAAGACCAGCCTGACCAACATGGTGAAACATCGTCTCTACTAACAATACAAAAATTGGCTGGGTGTGGTAGTGTGTGCCTATAATCCCAGCTACTTGGGAGGCTGAGGCAGGAGAATCTCTTGAACCTGGGAGGTGGAGGTTGCAGTGAGCCATGACTGCACCACTGCACTCCAGCCTGGGTGACAGAGCAAGACTCCATCTCAAAAGGTGGAGGCATGGACAGACAGATGGACAGCAAGCGAAGACAATGCAAAGTCAGCCAAATGTAAACAGTAGCGTCTGGGTAGTGGGAATCTTTGTGTCTAGCATACAAGTCTTTGAACTGTTCTATGTTTGAGTTTTCATAATAGAAAAAATCTTGAGAAGATTTTTTTTTTTTTTTGAGACGGAGTCACTCTTGTCGCCCAGGCTGGAGTGCAGTGGCACGATCTCAGCTCACTGCAACCTCCCTCCGCCTCCCAGGTTCAAGCGATTCTCCTGCCTCAGCGTCTTAAGTAGCTGGGATTACAGTCACCCGCCACCACACCTGGCTAATTATTTTGTATTTTTAGTGGAGATGGGGTTTCACCATGTTGGCCAGGATGGTTTCAAACTTTTGACCTCAAGTGATCCGCCCACCTCGGCCTCTCAAAGTGCTGGGATTACAGGCATGAGCCACCACATCTGGCCCATATGGTTTTTGACGAAATGGCAGCTATAGTATCTCTTGAGTGCCTGCTCTGTGCCAGGCATTGTGCGAAGGGCCTAACAGGCATGGTTGTCTTTGATCTAACAATAGTCCTATACGGTGGGTACTAGGATGGACTGCATTTTACAGATGAGGAAACCAAGACTCTCAGATTTGACTGACTTGTCCAAGGTGCCCAGAAGCACTGGGCCTGCCACCTCCACCTGACTCGGAACTTGGGAGGATGCTGCCTTCTGGGTGGAGGAGGGGATGGATGCATGATAAAGGAGCAGTGGCAGCAGAAATGAATCAACGAGAGCCAAAGTGTCAGGCACGAGACAGGCGCCTCTGCAGGAGAAGCTGACACCAATTCGTACTTTCTAGAATTGAGGGGTCTGCAGATTTCAGCTGCAGGTTTTTATCTATGTAGTAGGATAAGTAGTGTCCCCCGCAAATTCATGCCCATCCAGAACCTCAGCATGTGGCCTTACTTGAAATAGGATATTTGCAAATATAATAAGCTAAAGATTTCAAGATAAGATAATCTTGGACTTGGGGTGGCCCCTAAATCCAATGACTTACATCTCCGTAAGAAGAAGAGAGAGATGGTCATGGGAACATGGAGGCAGAGACTGCAGTGATGGGGCCACCGGGCAAGGCACGCCAGGAGCCACCAGCAGCTGGAATAAGCAAGCAGCGATCCTCCCCTGGAGCCTGAAGGCGGCACTGCCCAGCTGACGCTCTGATTTGAGACTTCTGGCCTCCAGAACTGCGAGAGACTCAATTTCTGCTGTTGTCAGCCCCTGCTTTGTGATCATTTATGGCAGTGCTAATAAACTAACACAGTCTATGGTATACATGTCGCATGTGGCTGCTGACAAATTTTCAAGCAGTACAGAAGAGTAACAGGGAGTGAAATGTCCCCTCCCCACTTCTCTTCCTTCCATACTTAGCAGGCATCCAACACGCAGTGAAGACTTGACGTGGCACTGGCGGGGTGTTGCCACGCGCCGTGGTCTTTCGTCTTCACGGCCACCTTCATCCTTCTCCTCTCCAACCCAGAGAAGAAACTGAGTAGTAAGCGACAGAGCCCAAATCTAAGTGCAAGCTCTTGACCAATGTCCATCCTCCCTCTCCACGGGGGGCCATAATATACACACCTGTGGACACACATACCTACAGAGACGGGCATCAATTCTGAAAACAGAAATGGGACCATACAATAGGTAACTGTTTAAAAGCGACTTGTGTTTTTCAGCCAACGGTACACCCCGTTCATCCTTCCATGTTGATGTCTCATTTGACTTAACGGTGGAAGCATTTCCTAAACTCAGCACAAAGGCGGTGGATACGTGTGGGAGCATACAAATACACACCCATTTCCTAAACTCAGCACAAAGGCAGTGGACACACACACATACACGCTAGAAAAGGGGAAATAGGTCTCCTGAGGGGCGAACCGTAAAGCCTCATTACCTGGAACTGCCCTAGAATCCATCATGAAAGCGAACCTATTAAACCCATGAAGAATGTCAACGAAGTTTGCAGAAGATATTTACCTTTCAGAAAAGCAAACTTTTCAAGCCCTGAGTAGCTGTTTGCTTGTGGGGATGGCAGGTGCGAAAGAGCCACCCTGCCGTCAGCTAATAGGCTCTGTCGAGAGCCTGTTCAACAACTCGTGCCTCTGGGAGAAACGGGAGATTGTTCCCACTCACAGCACCATCTTTCAGCCTCACAACACTCAAAGAGCTTTCCCATGGCGACGCTTAAAACCAGCCCCCAGCCATCTCCCCCTCCCCAGCTTAAGTCTTCCTTGCTGGGTCTCTGGACTTAGTCCTCCAGAACAGAGATGGAGGTGCAGGGATGGACTGCCAGCTTGCGGCTCAGGGTCCAATCTCCCTCACACGTGGGGGGTTTTGTGTGCCCTGCACAATATTTTCAAATAGAAAAAACTTCCTAGGAATCTTGATTTCTTCTCTAGAGGACCTGTATCTGGCCACACGCTGCCCACCCAAATAAGCCACACATTTCTGTCACCTGCCCAGCCCTAGGTGTCTGATTTTCCACCCTCTTTAAAACAGTTTCTTGAGTGAAGTCCACGTATTACCTGTATGGGTCCCCAGGAAGCCTGTTCAGAATGCAGATTCCCAGACCCACCCCCTACCTCCTTTCAACACAGGGGCCGGGAGGTGTCCTGTGTCCCCAGGAGCCTCTGCGCTTAGCAGTGTGTTGCAGAACCTTCTCCAGTCTGCTGGGCTCCCACTTCCGGGGCTGCCCATGATAGACAGCGGCTTTATTCTCTGTCGTCCCAGCACTGCCCACAGGGGAGCGCCCAGCCCGGCCCTTCCCGCTGCGTGCTTATCCAGGAAGCTCAGCAGGTGTCATCAATCTCATTTTAGAGAGGAGGAAATTGAGGCCCAGAGCTGTCCTAACTCCTTTTTTCTTTGAGACGAAGTCTCACTCTGTCACTCAGGCAGGAGTGCGGTGGCGCGATCTTGGCTTACTGTGACCTCTACCTCCTGGGTTCAAGTGATTCCCCTTCCTCAGCCTCCGGAGTAGCTGAGATTACAGGCATGGGCCACCACACCTGGCTGATTTTTGTATTTTTAGCAAAGATGGAGTTTTACCATGTTGGCCAGGCGGGTCTCGAACTCCTGCCCTCAAGTGATCCACCCACCTCAGCCTCCCAAGGTGCTGAGATTACAGGCATGAGCCATTGCACCTGGCCTAGATGTCCTAGCTTACTTAAAGTCATACGACCAGGTATTTAAGTGATGGGACCCAGATCCAAACCCAGGGCCTTCCTGCCCCTCCCCGTCAAGCTACATCTTGTTTACATACTCTTATGAACTTACTAGGAAAACATTTTTTTCAACCCTCTATGCAAAATATTTTAAAAATATTCTACAAACCAGTCTTGCCATGAACAGACAAGTCCCCTTTTCCAGAGTGGAAACTGCCGAGATGGGAATGGTCTCCCCCGCCAGAGGGCCGAGGACGGGGAGCCAGCACGTGATGAGGCCCCGAGCCACTCACCTTCACATCTGTGTGGCTCCGGGAGATCTGGAGCAGGCAGCCCAGCCCCACGCCCACGAGGATGTCTGCAGCCCCGCTCAGGAAGTTTTGCTGGAATGGCCTGCACATAACCCAACCACGCAGCCCCTCCCTGCTACTGCATTCAGCCCCGGGGCTTGGGATGCCACTGCAAAAATAAGGCACAGTGGCTCATGCCTATAATCCCAGCACTTTTGAGAGGCCGAGGTGGGAGGATCACTAGAGGCCAGGAGTTTGAGACCAGCCTGGGCAACAGGGTGAGACCCATCTCAGAAAATGATTCAGTGGGGGAAGGGGTGGGGTAGAGAAGCGCCGTGGTGTGAACTCGCTCCTCGGCTTCGTCATTCTCCCACCTCAACCTCCCAAGTAGCTGAGATCACAGGCATACGCCACCATGCCTGGCTAATCTTTGAATTTTTTGTAGAGAATTTTTTATGTTGCCCAGGCTAATCTCAAATTCCTGGGCTAAAGTGATCGTCGTGCCTCAGCCTCCCAAAGTGCTGGGATTATAGGTGTGAACCACTGTGCCCAGACCTACAAAAATTAAAAACATAATAATTAGGAAAAGAAAGAAAAAAAAACGAATGAACTTACTGGGCTTTATGATCAATGCCTAACTCCCACTTTACCCCAAATACCCTATCTGAGGAGACCCTCTCTGTTTAGGCCTTTAAGAAGATGGGTATTGAGTACAAGTTCCGCTCAGTCTCTAAGGATTGAATACCTCAGGGTGCCAGGAATGCTTGGCGCATGTAAGCACTCAGCAGGTGGGGAAACTGAGGCCAAGAGAGGTGAAGGGACTGCCCAGTCCCTAGAGGGAACTGGTGATAGTGTGTGGGTGAAGGCCATCTCTAGAAGTCATTCAGGGCTTCCTCCTTCCCAGCCAACCTTAGAGGTCACGCGAGGCTGTAGCCCGAAAGCCAGGAAGAAGCCTCAGTGGGAACAAAAGGGCCACCAAGGTCCCTGCTCCGCCTGGGAGTTAAAAGGGCAGGCGTCCAGGTCCCCGCAGTTAGCCTGTGTTTTGCCGGCCAGCTGCTCACACCGCAGCCGCTGCTGAGGCTGTCACCGTGGAGCTTGGAGAGAGCTGCCCTCAGACGCTCTGCGATCATCTTTCCTTAGCAGCCAACAGTATCCACTGCTGGCCGAATGCCTGCTGTGTGCTGGGCACGGTCTGGAACCCACGACCATCTGGTTTCAAGGCTCTTTGTCTTCACAGCCCCAGGCTGGCTGTATCTATCTTTTCTATATAGACCAAAAGTTGACAAACATCAGCCCTCTGGCCAAATTTAGGCCACTAACTGCTTTTATAAATAAAGTTTTATTGGAACGGAGCCACGCCTATTCGCTTTCAGATGGTCTGTGCCTGTTTCTGCACTACAGCAGCAGAGCTGAGTAGCTACGAAACCGCCTGCATGACCCCCAGAGTCTAAGATATTTATTCTTTGGGCTGGGAGCCGTGGCTCACACCTGAATCCCAGCACTTCGGGAGGCTGAGGCCAGCGGACCACTTGAGGGCAGGAGTTTGAGAACAGCTGGGCCAACATGGTGAAACCCCATCTCTACTAAAAATACAAAAATCAGCTGGGTGTGGTGGCACACGCCTGCAGTCCCAGCTACTGGGGAGGCTGAGGCAGGAGAATCACTTAACCCTGAAGGCGGAGGTTGCAGTGAGCCAAGATCGTGCCACTGCATTCCAGCCTGGGTGATAGAGCAAGACTCTGTCTCAAAAAAAAAAAAAATTCTCTGGCCTTTTTAGAAAAAGTCTGCCAACCCCTAAGATAGGCCATGACATGTCCCTATAAGCAAGAGAGAGAGGGTCTTCCATAAGATACACAGGCCCACCCTGCGGGTACCTGCTTATCACACCACTGTCCTAACAATCATAGTTCCTTCTGCTGAGCTCTTACCAGGGGCCAGGAATTTCATCCACCTCACTGGATCCTAACAACACCCCTAGGAGGTCAGCACTCCCCAAATCCCTATTTTTTTTTTTTTTGAGACAGAGACTTGCTCTGTAGCCCAGGCTGGAGTGCAATGGCGCGATCTCGGCTCACCGCAACCTCTGCCTCCTGGGTTCAGGCAATTCTCCTGCCTCAGCCTCCTGAGTAGCTGGGATTACAGGCACGCACCACCATGCCCAGCTAATTTTTTGTATTTTTAGTAGAGACGGGGTTTCACCATGTTGACCAGGATGGTCTCGATCTCTTGACCCCGTGATCCACCCACCTCGGCCTCCCAAAGTGCTGGGATTACAGGCTTGAGCCACCGCGCCCGGCCTCACATCCCTATTTTAAAGCCTTGGAGCCTGAGGCTCGGGCAGCCACGTTACCTGCCCCAGGTGTTACACCGAGAGCCAATCCCCAGGGTGGGGCACAGGAGGAAAGGGTGTCACCCGTGGCTGTGATACCAGCACTAAGGCCAAGAACAGACCTGAAAGGATACTGAAGATGATGCCACCAAAGCAGGCGGAGAACGCCATCCGAGGGTAGCCCTGGCGGGCCAGCGTGAAATCCGAGAAGGCATCTGCGTGGGAACAAGAGGGCCCCCCAGTGGTGAGTTGATTCCCCGGCCCTCCCGGGTCATCCACGCCTTCATTCTCACCCACGGTCATTCAGGCAACAAACACGGATGGATGCCCACGTGGGCCTGGGCACTAGCTGGTGGGGTGCTATGTGAGGGGCACAGCATCTGGGAAGGCACACTTCCCTCCTTAATTCCTTTACCCCACTCTTTCCCACCAGGAATTACTTTGCGGGTATGAAAAACAAGGCTACCAATTTTTCAAAGTCTCGTCTGCTGCTAACATGCACAGTACCTCCACGTGAATTAGAAGGTGCCCAAAAAGGTGAGGGCTAGATTTCAGCTCCCTTATCCTCTTGTCTGGATGCTCTTGAGCAGTGCATAACCTGGCCAACTGTACCTGGCTGCTACAGCTAGGGAAGGGTGTATGTATGCATGTATGTATGTAAGTGTGAATGCCTGCATGTCACACACCACATGCACATCAAGCAGGGTGGGCCGCAATGGGCTCCAGGTCTGGCCTGAACTCTGGGAGCCACTGAGTATCCCCACATCAGAGGGTGGGGAAGAGGCAGGGGCCTCTACAGAGTTTCTTGGTTCAACTGTAGTTAGGGCTATCTCACCCTGATGCTGTTCACTCCACAGTGACAGGGACACTGCACAGGTGCAGAGGGCAGACACCCTGGACACCTGCTCAGATGCGACTCTGGCTCGGGGAGGAAAGGGCTAAGATGTGGCTGCGCTCACCCCCACTCAACCCCACCCGGCCCTGAGTCACCTCCAATGCTGTTCCCCCAGGCCAGCAGCGTGAGCCCCAGCACGGTGTTGCTCAGCCGGAAGACCACGCCCAGGGACCGCAGGATGTTCACCACCTCTGTGGCGGCCGCGTTGATCCACAGGGCACTCGTCAGAAAGCCCAGGAAAGCAAAGAGCTGCGGAGGGAATGATTTGCTGATGGGACCAAGGCCAGCCCCAACAGGAACACAGCCTCAGTTCCTCACCTGTGAAATGGGATGATAGCATCTACCTCATGAGTTTGTTATGAGCATAAAACCTGTTACTATATGCATTGGTGCCTGCACATAGTAAGTGCTCAATAAAACGTGAGTTCAATATTATTTTCTTTTTTCCTTAATAAACTCCCTTTCAGGCTGGGTGTGGTGGCTCATGCCTGTAATCCCAGCACTTTGGGAGGCTGAGGCGGGTGGATCACCTGAGGTCAGGAGTTTGAGACCAGCCTGGCCAATATGGTGAAACCTTGTCTCTACTAAAAATACAAAAATTAGTTGGGGTGGTGTCACATGTCTGTAATCCCAGCTACTGGAGAGGCTGAGGCAGGAGAATTGTTTGACTCCAGGAGGTGGAGGTTGCAGTGAACCTAGATCATGCCCCTGCACTCCAGCCTGGGCGACAGAGTGAGACTCTGTCTCAAAAACAAAACAAAACAAAACAAAAACTCCCTTTCATGTATTAAAAAAATATATATTATTTTGTCTGGAAAGGGTTTCTTATCACTTTCAACAGATTTCCAGTCTCTGAACCAAATACCACCCAATATTCCAAAAGCATCCATGTAACTCATTAGCAGACACTTCCCATCCCCACCCCACCAGCCCAACAGGACCCCTACTCTGCTCTCTGCCTCTGCTGTCTGCCTCACGTTCACTCCACATCAGTGGAATGCCACAGTGTGTGATCCTCCGCTAGTGTCTTCTGTCACTCAGCAGCACGTTTGCAAGGGTCATCCACGTTGTGGCACACATCAGTACTTGAAAAAATAGTGAAAGACAATTTGCCCTAAGTAGCAAAAGGCAACTTCCCTAAATGATCCATTTGCTGAAAATTCAACACTGTTCGGTTAGTACATTCACTGAGAGTTTCTAAAAGTAAAAACTAAAATATTTAAAAATCATTAAGTACTAAAAAATGAAAATTTTCTATAAACGTTTTTTTAGGATGGTATCTCACTCCGTCACCCAGGCTGGAATGCAGTGGCGGGATCTCGGCTCACTGCAACCTCCACCTCCTGGGTTCC